GTGGCCGGACCTCACCGTGCTCCAGCATCTGGAAGCCTATGCTGCCGTGCGAGGGGTGAGGGGAGAGGATGCAGCTGTGCTCATCAGCCGGTACGCAGCCAAAGGATTCTTTGTTTCCTCTCTCTGGAGGTATTGGACAGGAAAAGGGCTTTCTGCTAACAGAGTTGGTTGGCACGAGGAAGAGAAAGCACCTTACTTCTTGCATTAGCTGCATTTACAGTCTTGAATTTCTGTAACAAATCTGTAAATTAGGATTAGAATCATTAAGTAACCCTCAGTGATGCACATCAGCCAAAGGCTGCTTGTCAGCCCCTGGTTCCTTGGCACCTCTGGCTGTAGCATCAGCACACAGGGATGGTCATGTCAACATTTTTCCTTTCTATCCCCGCAGTGTAGCCAAGGCCTTGGACCTCCAGAAGTGTTTAAAAACCCCAGCAAGGAGGCTGTCTGCTGGAGAAGCCAGGAAGGTCTGTGTTAGGTTTCTGCTTGAGCAGAACCTGCTTTTCTTGCTTTGAGTGTGATGCACACGTTCTAGCTCAGGAGCATATTGGGTGAGAGCAGAACACACTCCTGGGTGTTGTAAAACTTAATTTTTGTTTGTTTCACAACGTAGCAATTCTCTTCTTGAATGAAATTCGGTCTTGAATTACAATTTCTGGAAACCCAGTGTGCTGATGGCAGATCCCAAGGCTTTGGAGGGAGTGGGTGCCTGGCATGACATGGTTCCATCAATAGCTTTTCAATCCTGTCAGGATCCTCCACTCCCTCCTCTCTCCACATTGTGCACTAAATAAACATGAACCACAATTAGATTGATGAAGGTGATCACCTCTTCATGCCCCATGGTTTGCATCTGCCTGTAGGCAGGATGGAGAATATCTTTCATTGGCAAATGTGTGTGTTTTGGTAAAGCTTATTTTGGGAGATTAAAATGTTAAGTCAGAACACCTGAGGTCTGTTTACTGAATCCCTGTTCCACTGCTTTTTGTAATCAAAAGCTTCAGCTTCTATAATATTGACATGGGTTAAAACATGCGAGGTGACTCACCATCTACAGTGCATTAATGCAGCTTAAACGCTGACCTGGCTATGTGTCTTTCCCATTCCAGCTGTGTTTTGCACTGAGCATCCTGGGAAGCCCAACGGTGATGCTTTGGGATGAGCCATCGGCGGGCATGGACGTGGCAGGGCAGCGCTGTCTGCGGTGAGCAGTCCCTGGTTGTAGGAATGGCTGGGCAAGGAAGGGCTCCTTGGTGGCTGCGGTCACCTGTGTTACCCCAATGCACAGGGGTTGGGTACCACTCACCAGATTCCTCACCAGCCAGGCAGTAAGCCTTTGCCAACCTTCGTATTGATTCTTAACCAAAAAAAAAATCTGAGCAGACTCCATCTGAAACCGTGCATTTGGCAGAAAAGATAAAAATCTCCTTTCCTTCAGAGCATGAGAAAAAAATAGAGGTAGTCCTTCCCCTCCGTCATTCAGGCTTAGTGTTTTGCTGTCATTTTTCTATGACAGTTTTACCTGGAGCCGTAAAATTTGGATGGTTCTTGACACAACAAATTGCAGTTAGCATCCACTTGTCATCTTCAAGCAGGACAGATGAGATGAAACCTTTTAAATAATGATGGGCTTATTATTTCATAGGATCATGAAATCAGTAAGGTTGCAAAATCGCAGACACAGAATGACCAGGGTTGGAAGGAACCTCAAGGCTCATGAATCTCCAACCCTCCTGCCACATGCAGGGCCACCAACCTCCCCATTTAATACTAGACCAAAAAAAAGATCGCTAAGATCACCAAGCCCAACCATCACCCCATCCCCACCGTGCCCACTGACCGCGTCCCTCAAAATCCAGTTATTCCTTGACCGTTCTACACTGATTTTATTATTCCTCTGGCTGTTCCATGAGGTAATCTTGATCTCTCTGTTCCCAGGAAAGCAATCCAGGCTGCTGTGAGGAGCAAGGAGTGTGCAGCCGTGCTCAGCACGCACTGCCTGGAGGAGGCAGCGATGTGCGACCGCGTGGCCGTGCTGGTGGCGGGGCAGCTGCGGTGAGCACTGGTGTAGCAACGTGCAAGATTAATTTTCAGTCTTTATTTACATTTATTTATTAAGACAGTGGTCTCGTGGTTTGTCCCAGGCGTGTAATGGACACCGTTTTCTGAGGACACAGCCTTTATAGCAGCGTAGTGTAATTTGTAAGATGAATAAGAGGATGTATATCTGCTGCTTCTATTCTGTGATTGCTTTATTTGCTGCTTAGGATGGTTTGAGTGCTGTTTTCCCTCCTCTACAGGTACATTGGTTCCCCTGAGGAGCTGAGAAGGAAGTTTGGCACGAGTTACATCCTGGAAGTCAAACCAAAGGACGTGGGGCAAAGCGATGCTCTCCATAGTGAAATTCTGCACCTCTTCCCTGGTGCAGCTCAGCAAAAAAGGTCCTGGATACATGCTGGGATACACTGACCCTGCTCAGTCATTCATCCAAGAATGCAGGAATCCTAGAAGCACACCTAAACCTTGGTGGTGAGTCTCACCATGATGATGGATTTGCTTTCTATTACTTTTTCAGGATTTCTTCTTTGCTCACCTACAAGATACCAATGGAAGATGCACTACCTCTGTCCCAGGCTTTCTCCAAGCTAGAAGCAGGTACAAGGAAATAAATAAACCAGTATGAAGATCGCTTTCAAATTGTTTGTATGGATTTGTATTTAAGGATGTCTTCTCTATTGATCTGCAGCTAAACAGAATTTCAGGCTTGAGGAGTACAGCTTATCTTTGCACACTTTGCAACAGGTATGTTGGTTTAGAAAGAAAATGTCAGGAATGTTCCTGAAAGCAAGATGATGTTTTATGGCCAGAAAGCTATCTCAAAAAAGTTCAAATCCTGCTGTTAATTTTGAAATAACTTCCAGAAATGACAAACTGATCAAACCCATACTGATCTCTTAGAGAAAGGTGTTGATTGAATCATTTGTGTGTGAGAAAGCTGCACGTGTAGGAAATATATTTCACAATGTAGTACAGGAAATGACATATGCCTTGTTGGGAAAAAATATATATAGGCAGGAAGTAAAAACGGTGTGTACAGAAAACAAAACCATCCCATGAGCAGCGTTAGTACCATCAGTCCTTGGCCATAATGGGGCTGTTTCCACTCCGGTGCCTTGCAGGTGTTCATGGACTTCGGTGGGGACCTGGAGGAGCCCAACCTGGAGGCAGCAGCTGAAGGGGCTGCAGAGCAGTGGTTGCTCCAGCCCTGAGCCCTGGGAGACATGAAGGAATATTTTCAGCATCTTCAGTCAGTGTTACCAACGTGTTGGACTGGGGACTGGGACTCACATACCTGCATCGCATCATGTGGAGCTCAGCAGACGCCCTGCAAGGAAAAGAAAAGAGAATTATTATTGTAATAAATAAAGCCTTTATCCTTTAGCAACTGGTGCCTGCCATCCATCTATATGACTAGATGACTGAATCCATTGTGCTGAGCCATAATTTCGCTGGGCTGTATTGCTGATCTTAAGGCAAACCAGGGGTTTCCTTGAAGGAACTCCTCTACAACCTCAGGGAGGGCTCTTAAGCCTCCCCAGCTCTTGGACACCAGAACTTTGGCTTGCTTGGGCCTGAGTCCTGTCTCCTGGCTGGTGTCGCACAGCCAACAAGTGTGGTGCTTTCCATAGAGTTTTTGACCCAAAATCAGTGTCCCAGCCACCCTGATCCATCTCTGGCCTCCGCTGCGTGGAGAGAGGAAAGGATGCCAGTGCTTGAGTGCTTCTGCAAGCTCCTGGTGCTTGGGATAACCCGGAGGCAGATGTGGGGAAAGCAGCTCTTCTAGCCAAAGCACCTGTGTCTGACACTGTGTTGAGGGGAGGTGGAGTGGGCACCTGGCTAGCATCCACCTCTGCTGCTCAGTGAAGAGTAGGGGCAGATGCCTTCTCTTGATCACCTGCTTGTCAAGGCTGGCTCTAATGAGAAGATCATCATAACAGAAGTTTCCTCTTCATTCGGGTCATAGGGTATTTCTCCATATTACCAATTGTTTTGTTTCCCTGCTCCACCAGCCTTTGGGACTGGAGATTTGGGTGATGAGGTAGCATCGTTATGAAGGACACATCTGTGAGACCCTCACCCATGCCATGAGCTCCCTGGGCCACTTGGATGCTGTGCAATGAAATGGGTACAGGGGACATGGATGAAGCAGGTGCGGATGATGCAGGTGAGTTATGCAGACACAGGATGCAAATGACTTACTCAGCCATGGGCTGCTCCTGGTGGGGAAACTTCCCAGTTGGGCCACGCCACACTCTCCCCAAGAGGTTCTTTGCATGTGGATCTCCATCCACCTCAGAAGGAGATGAGCAGGGATGTCCTTGCTTGAGAGTCACGGAAACCTGAGACCCACTTCTCTTCATTTCCCCACTCTTTGCAAGGAGATGTAATGGCATGCTCTGCGTCCTCTTTTACCACACCTCGAAGCATAGCTGGGTCCAGTTGTAAAACAGGTGAATGTCATTTAAACACTAAAGCAGAAGGAGCATCCCTGCCTCTGTCCCATCCCAGCTCCTGCATCCCACCGCCACCACGGGGCAGACGAGTTCCGCAGCTCAGCCCTAGCCAGGACAAAAGCAAAGCGTGCCCGCTGTCAGTCCCAGTTGATTTAAACGTTTGCAAGAGGCTTTATAATGCAAAGGGCTGTTCCCATCCAGGTGGCAGCACTTCGCTGCTCTTCCTACACCGGGACTCGGTGCGTTGAGTTTGCTAAGAAAACCGATGTCAGGGAACGGGGACCTTCCCTCCTGCAGCAGTGTGCTGGGGTAGCTCAGTTGAATTCTCTGTGCTGAGAAGCATAAGGATTTGCCAGATAAAGGATATGTGTACGGCTTATTGTTGGGCTGAATTTTCCTCTCTTGGCTGAGACTCAAGAATTTCCTGAGTAACCTTTTCTTTTTTTTTTCTTTTTTCTTTTTCTTTTTTTTTTTTTCCAGTGAAATCTGCCTGGACAACTCCACAACAATATGCTCTGTTTGCTTTTTATAACGTAAATAAATCTGAAGCTCTGCCAAAGAGGAAGGGGGGGAAGTGAGGGATCGCATGAGGAATGCCTTTTGGCAGAAATATCCACGTGAAGGAGTGGTTGTGTGAAGAGAAGGGCTCCGAGCAGCACTGCAACCACTGGCCAGAATCTCCCCGGCAGCCCCACGTCCAGAGGTGCATTGCACAGAGTGAGCTTTGGATCCCTGTCAAACCCTCCCATTAAGGTAAGGCTCAAGCATTCTTCTTTAAACAAGAGAAAAACAGTATTTCGGAGAGATGAAAGCACTTAGTGATTAAGCATAAATAATGTTGGGTGAACACGGATGCAGGAAGATGGGTCAATGGGTGTCTTGGAACAGGCTCAGTTAAGGTTGGGATTAAACTTATTGGCACTATAAGCAGAACAGAGACATTTTAACCTCTTTGATATAGAGCAAATGGAGCTCTGTTTGCAGCAGAGGTGCATTTCTGGCAGTTCCTTTTGCTAGGAGAACGTGGTACAATTCAGCTGCGTTTAGTATTTTAGGGCATCCAACATACACAGGAGCAGAGTAAGCTAGAGATGGAACTAAAAAAAAGAAAATTGTCTTTCACTCTTACAAATTACCACTGAGATTGACTGGGATGATGCAGCTGGTGGTGGTGGGGAGGGGACACTTGGGACATCTGAGTGGGACCTGGTGGCCAGCTCTTCTTCCCACTGCAATCTCCTGGGTGTGAAGCTGGAGCTCTGGCTGTGGGTCAACTTGTCCAAGTGTAGGTTGGCTTCACCATCTCAAGGAAGCCTAGAGATCATCATAACAAGCTAAATTCATATTTTTATATGCTTTGTGAAGGCTTCTGAAGGACAAGAATCCGTTCAGAGTGTGATGGTCAAATAGCAGATTCCCGTCCCTACTCTCCCGTAGTGTCCCACAGAGGTAATACAGTTTGTTGCAGCTTTTTGAATGTTTGGTGTCATTGTGTCACCTCAGCAGAGCTTGGCCATTCCTTGGGCTGGGCAATCACATCCCTGAAATTGGCTGATATCAAGCATCCATGTGCGTGAAGTGGAGAATAATAAGAGAGGTGATAATGCAAATATAAATATTTGAAGAAGATAAGCTGCACCTTGACTGTCAGCACTGTGAGGCATTCATTCCCCAAAGTGTATTAGGAACTTTGGAAGGGTTTGTTTTCTATGTGCTCTTGGAGCTCCACCTGAGAATTTGCATACAGAAGATCAAGAAACCATTGTCTGGAAGTATAATTGAGCAGCAGAGCAGTTTGGCTGTGGGACTTTGGTTTCCCTTTCACACTTGGGTGCTTTGTCCTTTCACTCACTTCAGTTACCCATCACTATTTTCCTGATGGTTAACGTGGACACATCTTATCTGCAGTGCTCCTCTGACAATGCACGCTACGCCTTGCTTCTTTAAGGCTCAACACGAGTGTTGGTTGTCATCCAGGAAACAATCACTGTTTTGCATTGACCACAGATTTGAGGATGTTGCGAGATCTTATGGAGTAACCCACCACTGCACACTCATGGTTGCTTTTTCTCTCTTGCTCCCCATGAGGAACTCCGACAACGCAGCTCTCTGAAAGCACTTCCAAGAATTTGTTCTCTCGTAGCTCCCAGTTGCCTTCAGTTGACTCTGTTTTCTGTCTGAGCTCAGCTTGTACTGTGGCCAACAGTTTCTCAACACTTGGTGTGAAGCCTAGAGCACGCTAAAATCGCATGCAACTAGAATCTGTTGATTTTACTTAACTATATTTTTGTCACTTCTTGGATATTCAGGCCACCCAAACCAACTAGGTCATGCAGTCTGATTTCCCTTTTGTATTATCGAGTTAACTCCTCCCAGCCTTACCATGCTAAAGCATGGAAGAAATCTGGATTATAATTGGTGTCACAGTGCTGAGCTGCAAGGATGAGGAACACACTGATGACAACGATGGCCTCTGGTGCAGGACAGAGTCAGGGACCGAATGGCTTCAGCCCCTTCTCAGAAAAAAGAAAGTGTTTCTGGCAGACAAGCATATGCCATGCAAATAAAAACAGTCTCTGATGTTTTAGCATTGCTGTATCTGAAAGCAATTAATTTATTCTTTTTTTCTAGGTAGAAAGATGAGGAGACTTCAGAGAAATCTGAGTGTGTTCCAGCAAACTAAAATTCTCTTGTGGAAAAACGTGCTTATCAAATGGAGGATGAAAATGCAGAGTTTTCAGGTAGGATAAAAAAAAACACAACATGAAGTGGCCCCTGAAGATGGTTTAATCTCTGCCTTCCTCTATACCTCCACCTCCTTCTGTAGTGTTAAAGTCCATTTCAAAAGCTCAGTTTGTACCATGGCCAAGAGTTGCTCCAACACTTGGTGTGAAGCAGCACGTTAATATTACACGTATCTGGATTTTGGGGATTTTGGCTCATCATGTTGTCGTCGTCTCTTGGATATTCAGGCCACCCAAGCCAATTGCGACTGACTGGGAACGAACACATTTACCTTTTTATCCAATATATTTCTCTTTTGGATGACATGGAAGAGCACAGATGGGTTCTCCATGAGGAGATTTGCACAACACAACGACCTCGTCAGTCACTGACCAAGAAACCAATGCAACTCAGTGCCTTGTTTACCCTGATCAAACAGAGATGCTCCTCTACTGCTCTACCACTAAATCCCCTTTTCTACTCCCCTCTCCTAGGAGTGGATGCTGTCCCTGCTTTTCCTGCCACTGATGTTCATAGTGAGCAGCTTCATGATGTACATCCCCTACCCCGAGGTGCCACACAGCCACCTGGGGCAGCTGGATGATCCTGCCTACAATGCCACTGGAGTTACCATTGCTTTCACACCCGTCACTGCAGCCACCAGGCACATAATGAACACGGTGGCCTCAAAGTCTGTGATGACAGGTACGATTTATCTTTTAAATGCTTGGCTTTGGTGTTATTCAACCTTTTATACACACGTTTGTGTTTAAGTTGAGATGGGTTGAGATTGGGCTTGGAGATCTTAGAGGTCTTTTCCAACCTTCACGATTCTATTATTCTATGATTTTGTACCTTAAAACTCTACCTGGCCTGATGTTCACTGTGTAGTGAATAATACCACTGGGTCACATCCAATCACATCCATTCACTTATTTCCAGGTACACTTCTCAGTGTGAAGTATTTAGAGGGGCCACAGGTGTGCCCTGTCCAGTAATGAGAACTTGAGAGGGCAGGTGCAACCTCAGCAAAGCAAGATCTACACCCACAGCTTGTGTTTTGCAGTGCAACAGAAACTCATTGCAATATTTCATCTTTTAAACCCCAGGGATAAAACTGGAGGCACTGGACACCGAGAGAGCCTTGGAGGAAGCCTGGATTTCGAATAAAGAGATTATAGGAGTTGTATTTAAAAACAACTTCTCCTATCACCTCCGGTTTTCTGCTGAGAACGTGATTTTTCCAAATGAAAACCTTGAATACATAGGTACCCAGCTGTTTTCTGAAGCTGTTTGATGCTCTTATTAAAATGTTTTGTTGGTTTTTTTTTACGCTATTGGTTCCTGCAGAGGATCTTAATCTTGTTTTCCTCTTCTATTAAATCAGTTGTGTATGTATGAGTGATGCCCTTTTTCTCCATCCCTGCAGATACCTGTTACAATTACTCGGATCACTACTGTGAGAGCCCCAAGTACTGGTACCAAGGTTTCCTGTCCCTGCAGTCCAGCATTGATGCTGCTATTATAGAGGTAAATCAGTTACGAACTGCAGTACATGTCCTTTTAAAAGATACACATCTTTCTATCTAGGAAAGACAAATTTTTCTGTGACAATAACAAGGGATGAGCTTGTCAGAAAACCTCTCCAGAAAAAGCAAATACCGCCTGTGTATTATTGGCAGTGACAGCAGCGACTTGGATAGGATCAGCAGTTTCCTGCAGAAGAAGTTAGGTTTCGATTTCATTTTGAAGAGCTGTGCTAACTTTTGTTTCTCTTCAAATTGCATTTGTTCCTGAAGGCTGGGAACCAAACGCAACGCCATTGCTTGGTTTAGTGTATTTCCCAGGTGTCACGGAAAAGGCAATTCTTGGGTAGCACAAACAGCTGCTGGGTGTGTTGGCTTTGATAGATGATGGAGGGAGTCCAACTGAGCCCTTCACGTTAGACTTTATTGCATTACTCCCTGATGTCTATAAGGCTGCATTAAAAAGTAATATTAAAAAGGCATTCTATGTCAGATGAATCGGAAGATTCATTGGACAGCCACAACTCACTGTAGGAAATAAACTGAATGTTAACATTTTGACTTGAATTCCTTTAGGTGGTGGCAAATCATTCTGTTTGGGAAGAAATGAGAACAATTGCTGGGGTGCGTGCGAAGTCCCGGAGTGTCATCTCCTCAATTACATTAGAGTACATTTATTTCATGATTACTGTTGTGATGTGCTTCTCTTCATTCATGTATTTCTTATCTGTGAATGTTGTAAGAGAAAAGAAGAAGCTCAAAGTACTGATGAAGTTGATGGGGCTACACGATATGGCATTTTGGTGAGTTCTAGGCACTTTCGTAATATGTTAATAAATTAAATGGGTTTCTGACTACTCTAAGGACAAACCAAAAGGGCTGAACATGGCCATTCCTCTTTGGGAATTTCCTGAAGTGCGCCATGCTCGCTGCTCTGCATAAGATACGGTTGGGTTTGCTCTGGGAAACAGATGATGCTTTAATTAAAAATGGTTCTGCCATCTAAATGACTTTGCAACAACATTACACAGCCATATAACACTAGCTCTCCACTTCCAGGCTCTCCTGGAGCCTGCTGTATGCCATCTATGTGCTGATCCTGTCCTGCCTGCTGACTGCCCTGGTGGTGCAGGAAAGTTTCTACACCAGCAGCTTCTCTGCCATCCTACTGCTGTTTTTCCTGTATGGCCTCGCATGCGTAAGTCGGATTTGAGAGACAGATTTTCTCACTGCATGGTTTATTGATGTTTTGATGAGCGTAACCATTGCTCCAAGGCATGAGCACTGTGGTCAGGGTCGTATTTTTGTTTGGTCACATTAAGTGAAAAAGCTGAGTGGTTCCCTGCCTCAGTGAGTAGTTTCAGTTGTAGGCTGGCTATACCAGACCTGATTGAAACTCAGGTCTACCCACTGAGAAAGGACTTTTGTCATATTTTATTACACAGACCCAGCTCACCAGAGGCCTATTTGCCTGGCAAGAGGCATTACTGCTGGTTAAGGATACTTATCTCCTTCAGAGCTTGAAGGACATTTCTGTTCTTACAGGTCCACCTGGTCTTCATGCTCTGCTCCCTCCTGAGAACATCCAAACTTGTGGGCTCCCTGGGGTTCCTCATCACCTTTCTCTTCGGCTGCCTGAGCCTCTCAGTGCTGATAGAAAACCTTCCAGGACCTTTGAAGTGGTTTCTCAGCCTCTTTTGTCCTTTTGCGTTCAATGTTGGCATTGCGAAGGTATGGGGCATCATCTCAACAGAGTCAATGGGTCAATGGAATAGAAGGTTTGGGGATTAACAAAGTTAACAGCATCCATGATTCGATGTCACTTGCATAATTTTTCAGCATGAAAATCCTTCTACTTCGCCCTTTGTTTCAGATTTTCAGTTTGGAAAGATATGGAATAGGTTTCACTTTTTCTAACATCATGGAGGAATCATACTTTTTACTTTCAACCTACATCATACTGACCTTTGACTCGGTCTTGTACATGCTGTTAGCTGTCTACTTCGACAAAGTTCTGCAGGGTAAGTGTGGCTTATACTTACAGCTGTACTTTCCTCCCTTTTACTTTTGAATTATATGGACTGTGTGTGATAGCTCCTCACAGAAATGATGGGCTTCTCCCTTGTCTGCATCAACCAAAATAGATTTTGGACTGAAAAAGAAAATATTACACTGCTGAGGGACTTTTCTATCCCTGACATGTTCTGGTAATTCCCAGATCAAAGGCAGTGAAGAATTTAGTATTTTGTTTTCCCTTCTGTTTTTACTTACACTGTCATTGAACTGTTCATGAGAAAAATAGGGTTATTTTATGATAGGAACTATATTAAATTATTATATAAATGATGAAATTCATTGGAAATTGCCTCGAAGCCACCTTCTTGTGCTACTTAACCCAACTCCTGTGCACACTGATGAAAATTCCCCAACCTTTTAACGGGACAAAGCACCGATTTCGAGGCAGACAGGTAGTTTGCAGAAGCATTTACCATAGGATGGCATTCTGATGGTGCCTTCAGTTAACGACACACCATCATCTTTTACACTGTCATGCCAGGTAAATACGGCATCCCAGCCCCACCATTTTTCTGCCTGAAGCCCTCGTATTGGATGCGGAGCAGGAGGGGCTTTCCTGGGGAAGGACACAGAGGTGCTGGGAGCCTTGAGGACCCCCCAGGGGACGACGTGGAGCCGGTGCCCCTCGAGTTCAGGGGGAAGGAGGCCATCAGGTTGGAACTGAGGATTGTGCTGTTTGGTAGCTTGGGTCAACGCTCCTGCTGGCACCATTCTGCCATCAGTTCTGTTTCCATCTTCACGTGGTTTTGTTTCACAGAGAAACATTAGAGTAAAATGTTGATGAGATAAATAGATAATTCAGGTCACTAATGGTGAAATCCCCATAAACTCTCTGCTGTTTACTTTGCCACGGACTTTGGTAAATTGCCATTGCAGACAACAAGGAGAACCTGGAGGGCAGCCTGTTGCAAAGGGGCCACCTGTTGCAATGGGGCTGACCTTGTCTTTGCAAGGCTTGGTGCCTCGTTAGCATGTGCCAGGTAGAAATGTCCACATCTGTATACAGGGCACTCAAACTCACACTTCACATTCCATTTCTGTCATTTTGAATTCAGACCCATAAGAATAAGAAAGGACACCTAAATGCACTTACAAGAATTCTGAAATAATATCTGCCTTTCCTTCCTTTTCAGACTCCACAATATTAAAAAAACATACAAAAAGAAAGACAAGAAGACAGAAGCCTTGAGAGGTATGAAAGCTGTGATATTAATTTCTGCTAAAGGTGAAGATTCACAGCTCTGCAAATATGATGATCAAAGAAAGAAAACAATACTTGCACTGCTTGAAAAATTGTCTAAAATATTGATGCAACTGATTACTACTTTATTCAGTTTACATCCATTGATTTTCCATTCCTCCAAAAAGTGAAGAGAATAAGAAAGCTTTTTTATGTCTTTTCAGCTAATTCCAGAGCGGCTTCTTCTGCCTTCAGTTTTAGTTTTGCAGAATATTTCCTCAATTTTCCTTAATGGACTTCTGACTAATTACTGCTACTTAGTTCTTGTGCTTCTGGACCTGCCTTGCCTTTGACAATGAACAGAGGGAAGTAAAACCTCATTTTTTTGCCCCAGATTTGGTGTTTTTTGTGTTCTAGGTTTGTCTTTAGATATTTATGAGGGTCAAATCACTGCCTTGCTCGGTCACAGTGGGGCTGGAAAGACAACACTGTTAAATGTGCTCAGCGGGCTGACTTTGCCTTCTGAAGGTAGGATGGGACTGGTAAGGTGGGATGAGTGAGCTTCAAAGCTGCAAAGCCCAGCTTGTTCCCTGTCATCACATTTGTATTTGTATAAACAGGCTCTGCAACCATCTATGACTACAAGCTATCGGAGATAGGAGATAGGGAAGAGATCAGAGAGATGGTCGGTGTTTGCCCACAGTTCGATACGCAGTTCGAAGTCCTAACAGTGAAAGAAAATTTGCAAACCTTTGCAGAGATCAAGGGCATCAAATCCAAAGAGGTAGAGCAAGAGGTAAGTGCAAGTTCCCCTGTAATGAGAGCCTGGGGCCTTGGTGCATCCAAAGCAAGCCAACATAGCCTTCAAAATCATTTATTTGGTCCCAGCCACACCTCTTTTGTGGTTCACAGAGGACAGACAGCTGGTTCTGGGAATGGGCTTTCTTGTGCTTTTTGTAGGTGCAAAACATTTTGGAACTGCTGGATATCAGTAGTGTGCAAGACACTCAAGCTGAGAAATTGAGTGGTGGGCAAAAAAGGAAGTTATCCATTGGGATAGCCATGCTTGGGAACCCACAGGTAAAGCAGCTCTGTAATATACAGAATATTCAGTAATTTTAACGTGGCCATCGTTATTCCAGAAAGATGGTAAATTCTTTACCTTAATTTTACACATCTAGTTTAAAGCAGAGTCCCCTGAGCAGTGCCCAGAGTGGTTGCTCCTGCACACCAGATGGCCTGGCTCTCGCCTCCAGGACCTGAGGCTCTCAGGGAACACCAACCCCACAAGCTGTGCAACCATTCCTTCAGTGGGGAACATCTGCTCTCATCCCGTGTGCAGGTGCTGCTCCTGGATGAGCCGACAGCAGGGCTGGATCCTCTTTCCCGGCACCAGGTGTGGAGCCTTCTCAAGGAACACAGAGCTGGCCGGGTGATCCTCTTCAGTACCCAGTTCATGGATGAGGCTGACATCCTTGCGGGTAAGCAGAGGCTCAGCATCCCTGCAGAGCATCCCTGCAACTGGAAGTCCTTTTCTGGGCCAATCTACCTGGGATGAAAATCTGGATCATGGCATCTGCCCCCAGAAAAATACAAAATACCACTGAACTGCCCATGGGAGGTCCAGATGTAGGAAAAAAAGATTAAATCACTGCTCTACAGTTTATAATCTTCTTGTGCTTTTTTTTTTCTCTTTAGACCGCAAGGCTTTTATCTCACGTGGGAGGCTGAAGTGTGTTGGCTCCTCTTTGTTCTTGAAGAATAAATGGGGGATTGGCTACCACTTAAGGTATGCACTTCAGCTGTACCGACCAGTGTCTGGGAATAGGCATGAATCCACTAAGATGAGCTGAATTCACATTGAGTTAAATTAGCCGAAGATGTAATTTACTCCAGAGTAAGCAATGAAGTACAATTTGATGCATCCTAGCAAATACAGTCTTGCTTCCATTTCATTTGCTGTTTGTTTAGTTTTCAATATTGACCATTTGCTTTTTCCTTTCAATTGAACAGAATCCATGTCAGTGATTCTTGTGATGTAGAGAACGTGACATCTCTGGTTAAGCAGTACATCCCCAGAGTCATGCTCTCGGGACATGGTCAATACGAGCTGAGATATAAACTGCCATTAGAAAACGTGAATAAATTCCCAGGTAATGTTTATGAAAATAATTCAGAATTGTCCATAGAAAAGGAAAACTGAAATATGTGGGGAAAGAGAAATGAGGAACTTCTGCAAGGATAGCATGAAGACTATTAAATCGTTGCATGCAATGTCCACTACCCCATACCTGCTGCAGCAGTTGTGGCCATCAGTCTGGCAGTTCCATAGCCCTGCTGCCTGAAATGTTGATGCTAAACCTGCCCATGGCAGGAGGTTGGAACTAGGTCCCTCCCAACCCAACCCGTTCTTTGATTCTGTGATTCATTCTATGAAATTTTCACTGAACTGCGAATCTGGCAGTTTGGGGTTCCCTCCAAACCCCCTGCTTGCTGGCAGTTATTGCTTTGCTATTTTCCCTGTGACTGGAGATACCCCACTCTGGTTGACCTCACCTCTCCATAGTCCATAGTCCATAGTCATGCTTGTGTTTGACACCTTGGTGGCACTGACCATACCTCTGTCACACAGATCTGTTCAGGGGCCTCGACAGCTGCTCTGACCTGGGAATCATCAATTATGGAGTTAGTATGACAACCCTGGAGGATGTCTTCCTGAGACTGGAAGAAGATGCAGTGGACCAAGAAGGTACAATTGTGGCTGTCAACACACAGCCCTCAGCCAAGACAACAGCTGCTTTACAACCACCCCAACATCGCAGTGTAGAAGCTGGTTTCAGACATAACAGCGTGTGGAAAACTCTCTGCAGATAAGTGTGTCCCTGGGGAGCGGGCAGAAGGAGGAGCACGGAGCCCAGAGGAGATGGAGTCAGGCTCCCTGCTGCTCTCAGACACTGGGAGGGTGACAGTCAGCTGCTGGGCACTCTGGAGGCAGCAGGTCTCTGCCGTGGCATGGGTGCGCTTGCTAAAGCTCAAGAGCTCAGTGAAGAACCTCCTCTCCATGTGAGTATAAAAGGGATGCTCTTGTGTAGACCTGGAGATGGGGGCAGTCGCAGGAGGGGGATGATCCTCACAGCCCTGTTCAGATGAGCATTTGGAGTAACTGGTATCAGGTCTTGGCTATGAATGATCTTGACAATCTGCACTCAGAGAAGAGAAAAGCAGCTTATTTTCCATTGCTGGTAAATATTAAATCTGCCTTAAACGCAAAAGCCTCTCCTCCCTTCCTCCCTTCCTCCCTTCCTCCCTTCCTCCCTTCCTCCCTTCCTCCCTTCCTCCCTTCCTCCCTTCCTCTTCTTTACAATTTTGATACTCGATATCTTCCGTGCATTTTCATTCCTACACTGAGTAAATTACCCAAAAGAAATCCATTTACTTTCTGAACTTTTAGGAACAATTTTATTTCAGATGTGGAAAGAAGTTTTAAAATGAATTAATTCTTACAGTCCGAGGAAGGAAAATATTGCTTTCAGACTTCCATTTAAATTATTATTTTTTTGATACTTCTTTAATGTTGTCGGTGTCTGAACTCATTTGACCCCACTGGTCTTCAGTCTGCCATGCTGACATTTCCAGATGGGACACAAGAAATGGAGGGGACATGCTGAGATAGTCTATCATTCCCAATACATAATCACAATCTGCAAAATATCTCCTTTCAAAGTGTTCGTTCGTCTCTCTCTCCATGCAGTCTGCTGCTCTACGTGGTTTTCCTGCTCCCCCTGATTCTACAGCTGTCACTGACAAGTGTCTGGGAGAGCATGAGTGCCTGGGAGCTGTGCACATCACGGTACTTCCTGCCCCTGCGGACCAGGGCTCATGCTGACACCACCAACCTGCTGGTGCTCAACAGCACAGGTGAGCTGGGCTCCTCATGATTTAATGGGCTGTAAATGAAGCCTGATGATGCTTCAGTAGATGATATCCTCATGCAATGACATGGAAAGGGACTGGAATGTGGGATGAGAGGGGATCCCGTTCTTCCCCTGCGTCAAGACCTGACCTCCACCCAAATGGTTTCTGCTCTTTCAGAATTAATCCTGATCAGATTAACAGCCTCCTTCCAGAAATCTACCTTTGACATTCCTTTGAGTGGATGCTATTTCGTGTTATTTTGCCAGAGAATGATACTGTTGGCTTTGTCAGATCATCATCAGGAGAATACATTTGCAACTCAGCGAAGGAATAAAAGGGGGAGAAAAAGCAATGTTTCAGTCACTGAAACTGTCATCCATTAATATCACTAAAATTACTGTGCAGTGATCCAATCCATACGTGCTGTCTGGCTTTCACGGTCATTAGACTTTCTCTAGTTATGTTCAGTGGTCATGGATTCAAAAAAAGAAACCATCAAAGCTTCTTTTGTTTCTCACTATTATGATTTCTCTGCTTTTGGCTTTTGCATCAGGCTCAGGCATTGAGGACTTTATCCACGCCCTTGAGAGCCAAGATCTCGCAGTGGAAATTACAAACAAGGAAAATATCACAGAGGAGCTGAAATACAATGGGGCCATTAAAGTATCTCGTGAAGGCCAGGTGAGGACTTTTGCTCCCACCCTCACATTTCTTCCTAACAACGCACTAATTAAACACGGTTCCTCCTTCAGCTATACTGAACCTTTATCAGATATACTGAACCTTTAGGGACAAAGATTGGTGTTTTAGCCAGTAACCCATGTGCTAGAGGGGACAAGATTCTGTTCCTCCACTTGGATGATCTTTGAGGTCCCTCCCAGCTCAAGCCATTCAATGATTCTATTTGTGCAGCACAATTATACAGATTTTCTCTGTGCTGTTTGCACAAAAGGCATAAGCAACATGTATTATTTTAGGCCTGAATTCTCCTGGCCAAGAATTTTCATCCTGGTTTCTTGCTCTCTGAAGAGCTACAGGTTTACCATCTTTTGCCACATGGAGGCCATCAACTGCTTCCCAGTGCTTGTGAACATCATCAGCAATGCTCTGCTGAGAGCTTTCAATTCCACCGCACACATCCGGGTCTGGAGCCATCCTTTTTTCTCTGTAAGTGTCACAGTCTGAGAGACACTTCAAGTTCTTTTATACTGCAAGAAATGCTATGAACTTATGCTAAATGCTAAGAACTGTAGCATCTAGCCATTGGACTGTAGATGTTTTCTACAAATGTTTTGTTCTTCTGTTTTTCAGACAGATAATCCACAATACTGGGATTCCTTTGTCTCTTTCTACCTTATCTACATGCTGCTGCTATTCCCAGGTTTCCCTCCTCACTTTGCAATGGGCTATCTGCAGGACTACAAGGTAAATTCATTGAAATGCAGCAAATCCTATATGAGCAGAAGAGTCACAACTGTATTGCCATGAGGCCATGTGAATATGGCATCCTGAGGCTTTTCTCTGTACGGCCAGCTTTGCAGGCAGCATATACAGCTAAAAGACAAAAAAACATTGGATTTTAATACCAATATTACAAATACTGCAGTACTGCAATAGATTTTTGTGAGCTTTATTAGCTTTTCACTTCCCAGAGCTGTTCCTATGGCCAACACATTCCTTCCCAGACAGGAGCTCGTGCCCAGCTGCGGATCTCAGGGCTCTTCCCCTCGGCGTACTGGTGTGGGCAGGCACTGGTGGATGTTCCATTCTGCTGGCTCCTTCTCTTCTCCATGTTTGGGTTACAGTTTGCAATTAGCAACAGAGTGTCTGGAACCTTCAGCAGCTTCTTCTTGCTGGTGAGTCCTATTCTAGTGAACGCTGGTTTGCTAAGGGGGGATTTGGGTAATACTTTCGGCAAGAGGAGGGCTAGCTGAGACAGCAGCAATGTTTAGAGAGGCAGCATTTTGGAGAATATCCACACAAAATCATGCAGGAGCACAGCAGGACTTCAGCAGTTCACTGTAGCAGGCAGGAAGAAAATATGTGGGTACAGCCAATGCTGGCATATCTCCTGGTCCCCAGATCCTTACTGCCTTTCTCCTCATTTCACCTCTTATAATGTGAGTTTTCCCAGCTGGAAAAGGAAAGCAATAAATCCTGCCTTAATACACTGCTGTACACTAAGCAGTCAAATTGTGGTAATTTCTGAATGTCCTGATCTTAATGAATGACTACAGAAACTGAACCACATTGTTGTATATAGGTTTCTGGTTGTTGACGTGACTCCATTTTCTCTAATAAAAGCACTTTTCTCTGCAGATCATGAATATTTTTGGCTATGGAGTTTCTATCATTTTCTTAATCTATTTTATCTCCTTCTTCTTTCGGAAAGGATGGAACTGTGATTTTTGGTCTTTTATCCTAATAGTGGTAAGCATATAGCTTGATAATGCAATATGGGGTTTACAGAAATGTATTTTGAGTTCTTAAAGACAACCTAGAGGTCAAAACACCAATTATAGATCCAGGACATAGATAAGGGCATGTGTTTTATAACAAAAAATTCAATAGAAATCACTGTCACCTTGTTCTGCTTGCTGCCCCCCCTCCGTTTTCCCCCAGCCCTTCACTCCCACAGTTCTGGAAATAAGGATGCTTTTCACAGTTTGGGTCAATCCTTACAAGCCCTGCCTTTCTTTCTCTCTTCCCCCAAAGTCAAGTTAAAGTTTCAAAACACAAAACAATGGGGAATTTGTACTCCATTCCCTTATTCTGTGTAGATCAGATGGGATAGTGTGAAGTGGGATGGGAACAGAACAGGATCCCATACTGCTTCTTTCTGACCAAAGCAGCACTGTGCGTGGGGAGGAGTTTCCCCATATGACCCAAACCAGCAGCAGAGGTAGATGAGGACCTCCTGTACCCTCATCCTTTCTTGTCTTTATTTTTCTTGGCCATCTTGAACAGCTGAATAACCCTCCTGTTTCATTTGTAGGTATGCCTTGTTACTTTTATTATCAGCAGATTCATGGATTTTGCACTAGATCTCGAAATCTCCCTCTATCTCCTGTCTCTGCTGATCCCCCTGTACCCACCCTTGGGCCTCATGCTCAACATTGAGCAGGTAAATGGCTGTACTGGCATCTGTTGGGTAATCATTTCAGACCAGGTGGTCCTTCTGCTCCATTACTGCTATGGGCTGCTTCTTGTTCACATGGGCTGTGACTGTGGGTTAGGTAATCTTAGTTCTTCCCATGCAAAGTCAAGCACCTTGACTTGAACAATCATATAAGATTGCACAGCTGACTTTGCATGAAAACTGAGTGAGAGTTATGGATACTCCTAAAGTGTTTTACTGCACATCAGCTGGGAGTGGGCAGAGAAAGAGAGCAGGGAATGTAAAAAACCCTCCAGCTACATGCAAAGCCATTTATGTGCCAGAAGGGAATTAGGAGAGAAGTTCAACCAAAAAAGGACCCCTCCTCTGCCTCGTCCCCCTCTCTCCAGCTTCTCCTCTATTGGGCCCCCAAAGGAGAGAGATGTTTTCCTCTGACGAACCAACATCCCTCCAAAAAAGAGCCTGATGCATCTACTGAGTGCTACAGCATTTTCTGGAGTAGGACTGGAGTACCCAAAGTGAAGAGTGTATAGTGAATGTTTGGGATAAATTAGAAGCTTTTGTGCATACTTGATGTATTTGTTATTTGTATTTAAACCTTTTAATGCTACCCAGCATTATATAAAAGAATTGCAGGTCTTCACTGTGTATTTTTTTTACTCCTACAGATTTTTATTCAAGACTCTGACTTCACTGAAGGCTTCCCAAAAAACAACGTAGTCATAGCTGTCTTTGCAGTAAGAAAACATTTAAGAATAATTTTATTTAGGAACGTGTGCCTTCCAAGTTGTATTCTCAGTAAGCGAGTTCATCTTACAGAGAAGGAGAATCTTGGGGACGTGGATGACAAATTACCCCCATGTGTAAAAATAGTTTTGTTCCTTTGAAATGGGGAAGGAAATAAGTCTAGGTAGCTTGATGCTTCTGCATTGGTGTTTTCTGCAGTTCTGGTGAATGATAGCAGAGTTTGCAGCCTTCAGGATTACCCTGCGTTTAGATGGCAACTAACTTTAATTTCACACACTGTGTTTTCCCCCCCACGTAGTTTGTAACTCTGCCACCATCTTTTCAGCTTCAGCCACAGCAGAATGGAAGGCAAGTCTGTCAGTGTGGCAACCTCTTTTTTTCAGCCTTACATCCATTTTGTGGTTTTCGTTTTCCTCCTTCGTTATTTGGAGATAAAATATGGAAGGCCAGTTCTGAGAAAGGACCCAATATTTAGGTTCGTATAAACACACACACCACAGGCACTCCTAGCATACTGCTTTTCTTGGAAGACAACAACTTGACCAAATGCTAAGATTAACCTGTTGGCTTTGTAGAATTTCCCCAAGAAAAGAGAACAGCCATCAGCATCCCGAGGAGCCCGAAGAGGAAGATGAGGATGTTAAAGCTGAAAGAGAAGCAGTGAAAAATGCCATAGCAGCTCCAAGCCAGGAGGAGGTAAGGCCGAGTGTGGTTCTTCTTCCTTTGCTTTATATCAGTAATAAGATTGTTAGTTTAGAAAAAAAATCACCAAGATTAATAAGGGCAAGTGAATGCTCTGGCTGCATTATTCATTCCTCAATGGAAAAACCCAGCTCTCAAGTGGACAGAATTGGTCCCATCAGGATAAAGAAGAAATGTTTCAAGTGGAAAACGGACAACGTTCCGTGGCATCTCAAATTCTCAGATCTTTTAAAGTTTTTTCCTTTTAAAATGCAAAAATATTACAGAAGGATGAATGCTATTCAGTGTAATGACTGATCTTTCTTCCTCCTCCTTGCTTTCAGAAATCAGTTATTATTGTCAATAATCTCTACAAGGAATATAAAATTAAGAAAGCTGGTTCCGTTTTTAGGAAGAAGAAGAAAATAGCCACCAAAAATATTTCCTTCTGTGTTAAGAAAGGTGAGAACTGGAACTGTTTTACTCTGACCATACCCAGAGAGCTAATCCTCTGCAGGGTCTGCTATCTGAGCCGTGACACCAAGGTGGAATCCATTTCCTCCATGCTTAAGGCACATCCAGTGTATGGCTGGTGAGATAATGAATACCACAGACACATCCAACCAGTTACCTTTGACTCTCCACTATCCAAAATTACATTACTTCTTCTACAGCAGTCACTTCAGCAGCAGCTTCTGGAAGCGATGCTCAGACTTACGTCACTGCATCAGCTACAGAGTTGAAAAGTCATTTATGGCCTCTCTGCTCATATATTCATACATCTGTACAATTGTATGTGATCTTTGATATTAGCATACTCTCTTGTAAGCTTTTTTTTTTTTTTTTTTTATGAGACTGCCTGGTATCTCAGCTGAATGGCGGGCCTTACTAAGAAATGCTGTGTACTGATTTCAGGAGAAGTGTTAGGACTCCTGGGGCCCAACGGAGCTGGTAAGAGCACGGTCATCAATATGATAGCTGGGGAGACAACGCTGACAGCTGGGCAGGTAGGAGGCTGCTGGAGGGTAGGGATAGATGTGTGCTAAAAATGCAGAGCTTGTGCCCAGCTAAGTTTTTCTTCAAAGTAATACTAGGGATTAACCAAACACATTGTTCTATTGAACTATGTATTAATAAAAATGATGGTGAGCTGCTGCTAACTCTAACCACCGTGTGCATCTATGCTAACTCACCATTATATTCAGGAGCCATGTATCTGAGGGTTGCAAAACCAATCCCTCACCCCTCAGGTTTCCTCCCCTAAAGCCCTGTGAAGCCCATAGTTTCCCTCCAAACCTTCCACCTTTGGCTGTGCACATGTGAAACACAGCGTGATCATGCAGGTGCTGCTGAGGAGCCGTGATGCCATGCTGTGCTGGACACAGGACCATGCGTTTGCCTACCTGGGGCACTGCCCACAGGAGGACCCACTATGGCCAGACCTCACCGTGCACGAGCACCTGAAGATCTATGCTGCTGTAAAGGGTGTGCACAAGGAGGACATCGCCACTGCCATCAACAGGTATGGGGTGAGGGTGGTCCTGGGGTCAGTCAAGGGTTTATTCCACATCGTAGGGCGTAGCGAGGAGATCTGAATGTCAGAACCCTCAGTGAGCAAGAAGATGCCTTGGAATAAACTCAGGAAGCAAATCTGTAAAAGGGATTTTGTACTAAATGCTGTGATTGAATGAGTGGGTTAAGGAAAGCTCCGGTTTGCCTAAGTGCATTTGGTGGGGATGGATTTACCACTAACATCCCTTAAAATACATTACCCATAGGAAGCGTTTCTAAAATCTCTGATTTTATTGTTTGGCATTGCAAGGAAGGCGCTTACATAGTGCCTACTCAGCAGGCACAGAAGATGGAGTGGATCTATAATGCTGTTGACACAAGCGACAGTTTTTAGAATAGATTTTGAGGTCTGTTCAGTACACTTCAGTTAAGTGGTGATGTGTTGGCATGGGCTGCCCAGGCCGTGGGGGGAATCAGCATTCCTGAAGGTGTTCAGAACCGTGGAAATGTGGCACTTGGGGATATGGTCAGTGGGCATAGCAGGGTGGGTTGGGGTTGGACTTGGGGATGTTAGAGGTCTTTTCCAGTCTGAATGGCTCCATAAGCATTCGCTTATGTTTTTATAACACAATTTACTGAAATCAAACAGGAGCCGAGAGTCAGGGATAAGAAAGTTCCTTTTTCTTATTCTTTTGGGAACTTCTGATTAGAGTACTGTGTCAGAGAATAACAACTTCTTTTTTCCCCTTTCTTTCTCTTTCTCACAGAATAGTGAATGCTCTGGAGCTTCAAGACTATTTAAAAAAGCCAACCAGAAAACTACCTGCTGGGATAACCAGAAAGGTGCAATTTTTTTCCTTCTTTTTCCTATAATGAGCACTGTAATGTTCATAGCACAAATGAAAAATGTCCTCTGGGAACAGTGGGACCTCCCTGTGCTCCCAACCACCTGGGAAAGCATCACATTGCACCTTCCAAGTCCCTGTCTCGTATCAATCAGAAGTTTGATGTGTTCATAAAGAATGCAGTGCTGCCTGCAGCTCCTTGAAGACACACTGCTGGGGCTGTAGGTTTGACCCCAACCTCTCTCCCTGCCATAGCTGTGCTTCGCTGTGTGCATGCTGGGCAACCCTTCAGTCCTGTTGTTGGATGAGCCATCGACTGGCATGGACCCCAAAGGACAGCGCTGCATTTGGTGAGCAGGACCCCAGGCTGCTGCGTGGTGAAGGGCTGGAAACTAGGAGTGGATGTGTAGGGTTGGTTAAAGAGCATTCTATCCTATCTGTAGTTGATGCTGCTCGCATAATTTTTAACAAAACCTGTTTTCTTGGTTCTCCTTACCCAAAGTGCTAAGAAGTTCTCCTTGTTGCAAATGTTAATAATTTTAGGGGGTAGAGGGGCAAAGCTTCGATAAAAAGTACCTGGTATTTCTAGGTAGTGTCGGCTCCTTTTTTTAACTTCTGTGTCTTCAGGAAAATGATTCGTGCTGCCCTGAAGACCCAGGAGACAGGTGCCGTGCTGACCACACACTACATGGAGGAGGCAGAGGCAGTGTGTGACCGCGTGGCCATGCTGGTGGCTGGGCAGCTACGGTGGGTATTAACAGGACTAGGATAGGGTTTATCCCCCAGCCTCACCCCAGGCTTTGTGATCCCCGTAACAGTAGGATTTGGGAAGGAGCAGATATCAGTGGGTCCACACTGACTTTATTCTTCTCGATTCACCTGCAGGTGTATTGGCTCCATTCAGTACCTAAAGAACAAGTTCGGCAAAGGCTATGTGCTGGAAATTAAAGTCAAAGACCCAGAGACCACTGATCTTCTCCATGCTGAGATTTTGAGGATTTTCCCAAGCGCTGCCCGTCAGGAGAGGTAACTACAAAATAGGGAATGAACAGTGGCTTCACTATTGCATCACCTCTAAAAGCCTGACCAGTGGGACGGCCAAATACAGGATCTCTGCTACTGAGAGATCTACATGCCATAGTCCCAATGAGGTGATCTAACTCAGTAATGCCACCAAGCCCAGCCCTGCTGCTATCCCCACAGTAAAACATCCATAGGTCCAGCTCATACTGTAACAAACTTCTGAATGCAGAATTACAATCTAGAGTAAGAGCCCCCTTTTCTTCTTTTTCTTCCAGGTTCCCCTCTTTGCTTGTCTACAAGGTCCCAATGGAAGATGCACTGCCCCTGTCTCAGTCTTTCTCCAAGCTAGAGGAAGGTAAGAGCAAAGCAAGACGACTGTTTGAAAAGGTGAAACACCAACATGTAGTCTTCAACTCGATTTCCATTCCTCCACAGCCAAACAAAACTTCAACCTCGAGGAGTACAGCTTCTCTTTGAATACTTTGGCTCAGGTACGTGACCTCAAGGTGTGAGTAAAACCACAGTGAGGTCTGGGCCAGGAGCGGGAGGCAAGAAACTGCCCTGGGGGGCTGGTATGGGATTGTCTGCCAGGAAAATGGTGGCAAATGGTGGAGTTTAATTTGTTTTGGTTTAGTTTTGCCACTGTTGGGAAGCAACAGTGGTCAGGACAACCCAGGCAGTGTGTTGCCACCCAAAACAAGCACACTGCACATGGTGACAGATGGATGTCCCTGACAATGCCCAGTCCCAGCCACTGTGGTCACTGTACAAGGCTGATAGCAAAGCATTGCAGTGCGTGCCAATCCCTCCATGAATACAAACCATCCCATGGATATACCTATGAGCAGAATTCTCAGCTACCGTGCCTTTGTTCCCCACATAGAGCTACTTCATGTACCTGTGGGAGGTGTTACAGAGCTGCACCTCCTGCAAAGGTGCATCACGGAATCTAGGGAGGGTCGAAAAAATAATCACAACTTTACATTGTCCATTTAGGTCTTTTTGGAACTCTCCAGAGAGCAGGAAAAGGATAATTTTGATCTCACTTTGGATGGTCCTTTTGAATGGAAACAACTTCAGCAGGAAGATAGTTAAAGGTCTCTGATGCTCATTTACACATTACTCTGTATTAGCCTAAGTGATGTGATAACTGCACGTATCTACTACCATTATCAGCGTACCAGGAATAGGATCAGGCTCTGCCTCTCTGGAGAGGATCAGCCCAGGGCTGCACGCTGATGCAGAAGGCATTTCACCAGGATTCCATGAGTGCCTACACTGAGCTTTGTCCCAAGAGAGCCTCCAACAACTGCTTGTTGAATCTGTACCTGCACCAGTGGGAGCCACCATCAAGCAAAGCAGGTTGGAGCAGATGACCAGGAGGGATTCCTACCCCATCTCTAAGGACAAGGCTTTGCTTGGTGGATCTGGGTGCATCAGCAAGTCTGGCCACACTGCTCATCTCCTCAGTTCATCTCCCACACACATGGAACTATGAGATGCCTTTAAACAGATCTTATTAAAGTTTACCCTCTATTTTTATATCCTTCCAATAAATGTCTGTGTAGAACACATGGTTATGCCCTCACGTTATACCTGTGCTCATTCACAACAGCAAAAACCCCTTCAGAAAACATGAAGCTTTACTTTCCTCTATAACATACACTGGTGGCTGTGTTGCAGTCTCTGCCCATAGACATCATGCACTCAGCTCCAAAACATGCTCTGGCAGCCAGAGAACACTCACTCAGAGATTATATCCCTGCTGCTTGCACAATGGTTTTACTCCCACCCCTGGGAAATGAGATAGGAGAAGCCCTAAACACTTGAGTCACCTGCTTGTGCATTCAGTTCCAGAGAAAGTAAACTCAGGGAAAGAGAAGAGCTCCATTCAGCGTGCTGAGGATAGCTGCAGCAGTCTGATTCAGGGCTGTGCAAGCCATGGCCACTTTGATATCACAGCCATTTATGCAATACGCTAGGGATGTGGTTAGCAGGCACAGTGGGTGGATGGTTGGACTGGGTGATCTTAGATATATTTCCCAACCTCAGTGATTCTATACATTGCTGCTCCCCTCTGTATTCCTGCCCCTATACTCAGACCTTTGCTTTTTTAACAAGGAAAAGACCCCCAGAGTGCTCTGAGTCTGCCTGGCAGGAGCTGGAGACAGGGAAGCGTGATAGGGACAGTGCCATCACCAGCACAAGACTGAGATTCCCAGGACCTGGGCCACAGCCAGCACTGGGAGAAAGGAGTTCTGTGCCCTGCACAAAAAAAGAGATTAGCTAGCAGCAGAGAATGGACAAAAGTGCTCAAAAAGTTCATGAGCACTTGGCTTTGCTGTTTAAGGGGGAAAAGAAAAAATAAAAAAAGAAAAAAAAACCAAGAGTGAGATTTTCTGGAAGCTATCAGGCTTCGTGAACGTTCCCTGCAGAGGTCACCCTCCCACCATCCCTTCCCTGAAAGGCTGGGGGGAAATGCCCCCTCATTGCTGCCATCACTCTGCTGCTGCTGTAGTGCAGGTAGGGCATTTCAGCATGCAACCTGCCTCTCTCCAGCAAGCAGTCCCCTGCTTGTGCACTGCCTGCTCCCTTGTGCAATGCAGATTTGTATTTATTTTTAGGTTTAATAATGCCTTCTTTATACTTCTTCCAATTTTCCCTGCTGACAGCTGGGTGGCCAGCATGCCCTCGTTGCACAAAGGGCCATTCACCACCAGTCCCAAAGCATCATGCCCCAAACAGGCATCATGGAGCAGCAGCAAGGAGCAAAATGCATCTTTCAGTTTAAGGGAGAACCATACAATCTCTGAGGTTGTAAGAAGTCCCCAAACTCAAGCCCAACCCACCCCATCATGCCCACCATCTCCACAGCTCTGGAGCACCTCCAACAGTGATGACTCCCCCACCTCCTGGGCAGCTGTGCTAACAAAACACCACTCTTTCAGAGAAGAAATAGTTCCTAGTATTCAACCTGAACCTCCCCTGGCACTACTTAAGGCCATTACCTCTCATCCTAGGAAAAATAATAATAATAAAAAAAAAAACAGTACTAGTAGATGGTTTCCCAGTGTTGGGGACTGAGGTGCACGCAGGCTCAAAATCTGGGAGCTCAGGGATGGTGTTTTGCCATGGAAGGTCTAGGAGGATTGAGAATGTCTGGGTGGGAACTGCAGGGCTTCCAGGTGTCCTCACAGCTGCAGCACAGGCAGAAACAGAATTCTGCTGGGGTCAGATGTAAATGAAGTAACTCTGCTTAAATACAAGCAAGCAACAACAAAAACTGGTATTTCTGAGAATTTCAAGGAACTTCAAGGAAAGAACTGATGCAAGCTCCAAAATATCTACAGGACAAACTTTGGAGGAGGAGGATAAAGCAGAGTGATGCTGAACAAGGAGCAGGTGTCCTGCAGGCAGCTGGAGGCCGGGCTGCCATCAGTGCTTTATGCTGGGCAGAGCTCATGGCTCAGCTGACCACCAAGTAACCTCCAGAGCATCTTTAGAAGGATGAAAACTAAAGATAGGATAGGACGGGTAAGGCAGGGTAGATAATGAAATAAAACCATGGGAAATAGGTCCAGCCATAAACACAGGGCTGTGTGTGGCTGCACACAGCTCCCATCCTCACATGCCCCCATCTGTGCATCATGGTGAGGGCAGTGCGGTCCCCTACCAGCCCTGCAGCCCATGCAGGGCTTTGTCACAGCTCCTTCCCACACAGCACTGCCCAGGCCAGATGTACTTCAGGCACAACAAGCAAGGCAATGCAGATGTTGGCAACCTCACTGGCGTGGGAGTCCAGTTCTCTTTTTCCATTCCCTGTAGACAAAAGAGGAAACCGGGGCTGGCTTGCAGCCCTACACGTGAGCACAGTGTGGGGAACTGGCTTCACCAGGACCATTGATGATCACAGCTCATGTGAGTACCAGGACATCCTCACAAGCATCTCTGCAAATATTTCATTTTTAAGGCAGTTGAGCTTGACTTAGTGCACAGGTGGAAGCCAAACAGAACATTTTTCTCTTGCACTGGTGTTCCTTCGCATCTCAACCCCTTCGGAGACTCTAGGCTGAAAATACTCCGAAGTCCTTCAGCAGCAGATGGATAAAATATCAGACAGAGGACTATGTGTGGCTGTGACAGCAGCCAAACCCAACAAAATATTTACTTCAAAGAAGACAGAAGGCTCGCTTGTCCAGCTGGAAAAAGCAGGAAGTGCTTTTTAAATAGAGAGGAGAGAGGGAGATGGTTGTGTAAGGCATGATGTTTTAATTAAATCATACTTGAATGATAGCAGAAGTTCATGAACTTATGTTCTAGGCAAAATGGAAGCAGCCGTTTGTCACTGTGCATCTTTGCTCTGGCGCAGACACCAGGAATAGATGGGCAAAGTAGGAGATGGGCTGTTGGGCACACATGTGGCAGGTATAGGGCTGAGTCCTGCTGACCCTGCACTATTCTGAGTGAAGTCTGGCTATTTGGAAATATCAGCAGTCATCCACCAGCATACAGTGTGTCCCTGGACAAGGCTGCAGTCAGGTGAGGGCAGCTGATGGATTTCAGTGGGAAGGCTCATCCATCCTTGGGTTTGGGACAAGCTGGAGCAGCCCTTTCACTTGATTGGGTTCAGCATCCCTGAAGATGTTCTAGGAACATGTAAATGTGGTACTAAAGGACATGGTTTATCTTGCAATATTGGTGATAGGGGAACAGTTGGACTAGACAATCTTAGGTCTTTTCCTGCCTTAGTCGTTCTATGAACTCCTGACCATGAAATCCTTGGGTTTGTCCAAAGAATCATTACCACCACCCACCACCTCATCCTTCCCAGGAAACTGGATCCAGCTGTAACACTGTGTATGCCCATAAACAACAAGCCAGAGTCTCCAAACCCACCAGGAGAACCTGAGGTCATGTCACATCCAGCTGTGATCAGGGGGATAACTGCCTGCTGCCACCTGCCCTGAGATCCCAGCTGCCACCCATCAGCCTGGACATATGGAAATACTCAATAACAGCAACCAGATCACCATCAGGGTGGTCAGGATTGAGTCATAAATGACCCTTTTTTCATCTTTCTTCAGCTAGTTAAGCCTCTCATCCACAGATGGGCTGAGAGGTGAGGTCTGCAATGGGTTCTGGAAACAACCCCTTGTGCTCCCTTTGTATTTATTAAAAAATGGTTTTTAAAACTAAAAGAAAGGGCTGTATGGCACAAGAAGGACCCAAGGCAGACTCTGTTGTACAGATTCACCTGGCACAACCCATGCCATGCCCCTCTGCACTGCTGCTGCACCAGCACAATTCCTCCAGCCCCACACTGTGAGAAATTCATTGCATGTTCTAAATGCAAGTCTCTGAAGGGCTGTCAGGATGCTAAGTAGGAATTCAGAAGGCACAACAAAAAGAATGAAGAATAGATCTTTGTTTTTGCCACTGCACTTTCCCCTGAGGGCAGGAGAGAAATCTCTCACCAGCGCTTTGAAGGGCTGCTCTACCACCTGCAGCCCCTCCATATCTCACATCAGGGTCTGTCACTGCCAGTCACAAGAGACTGAAAAGGAAAGAATGGGCTCCCATGAGCTCACACACCATCTTCTTCATCACAGCCTGAGGCCACAGGGATGCTGAGAAAGCTACAAGCATAGCTAGCTTTAAAGAGTGTCTAGGGGAAAAACTGGTCAATGAGAAGACACCCATGGGAGCTGCAAAAGCTGGAGGGATCCTGAGCCACCATTGCTAGGACACAGCACCCTGCACTGTCCTTGGGATCCTGCCCTCAAAAGGCCCTATTGAAGGGACAGAGGTTGGATGTCAGTCTCTTGGGACCTATGAAGCTGCTGCTGAGCGAGCGTTTTGGTTATGAAAACATCAAAAGGGGAAAAAATTGGGAGAGAAAGAACTCTGTTTCTGAGAAATCACCTTTTATTCTGGTTACAAACTGGGCACGGGCTAAGTGGTGTAGCATGTTGGTTGCCAACAATATCAGTGCCTTTCTAAATCATCCATTCAAGTGAAATATAGATGATAATTTACTCAAAATACAACATTTGCAGCGGGGGCCCTGTAGCCAATGTTTTGTAGAAAACAACTCTTTGTTCTGGTCTCCAGATGCCTGATCTCCTGACTCTACCCTCTCTGTTCTGCCTTTCCTAGAAAGGGAACGCTGCCAGCAGTTAGAAAAGAA